CTCCCCAGCTACATTTGGCACATACAAATTGTCTTTAGTTGTTTCTCATGTTCCTTCTCCCCGCCTGTGCCCCCCCCCCCAGTACCATTGATGTGAGGGCTGTACCTGCACTGCTGGAGCACATCAGGAAACAAGCCACAATCTTGATCTCCCTAGAGTCTGGGAAGGCACATGTCTGTGTGTACCTGTGTGTTGGGGGGGGCATCCCACCAAGTCAAAGTTTCAGTCAAGAACAAAGCGGGGGTTGAAGGGCATAGGCTTGGCGATGTCTCCCGTAATCACTGGCGAGCCTCAACCAGCCTCGTTTCCTGAAGGTCCTCGGGGAAGCTGGTGCCGTCTCAGGCTCAAATGCCGTAGGTCAGGTCTGTGATCACCTTGGCCTTCACCAGTTTCCGGAGGAACTCCTTCTCCTTTGAGATGTTGTGAGTCCACGACTGGAAGGAACAGAGAGGGAAATGCATTTTCATCCTAGATCCCAGAGCCTGTTGTATTTCCAGCACAGCCAGACCCCGCTTGCTGCACATGTGGGGTCGGCCTCACTACACTGGCTCTGACGTGGGTCAGAAAAGCATCGTTTCAGAGATGCTTCAGGGTCCCACCTCCTTAAAACACAATGTTCTGCCATCTTTGGTGATTTCTCCTAGAAACCATTAAAGCACACAGATCTGAGCTCAGCCAGGTTACTGGGAGATACCATGAAATAAAAGCAGAGTAATATCTTTGCTATTTATACGCCACATAAAAGTGGACCTTCCAGGCATAAATTCCAGGACGAGAGCGACGAGTACCTATAGACAGGAACAATGGGCTTTTGCGGGATGGGCCTTCAGATCAAAGGCGGCCCCAGGGACGGTAACGTCGAGAGGGATCACACAAAGTCAACAGGCCATTGTGAGCGGCAGAATGGCGAGCCGTCCGCACTGGGGCAGGCATTCAGCTCGGAGATGGCAGAGAGCAGGATCTCGACACGATGCTGAGCGCTTTGTTCCCGAGATGCTGCTTTGATTCACAGACAAACGACAGTGCGCCCCGGACAGCAACAAGCAGATTACGAGGGGGAGTCGCTGGCAGAATTAGCAGAATTACAGGCGGCTGATCTGCCTGCGCATGAAGGAGGCTGCAACCCGGCCGGATTCCCCCCGGACGCAGGACAGCGTTGCATTCCGGCTTCTCCAGGAAGGCCACTTTCAGGATGTTCAGACAGATCCTGCCCAGGAGGGTCTCTACCTGGGGGGCTCCCTCAGCATCACAGCCAGGTCCAACGGGCAGCCGCACTCCGGCACGCCGGAAGGTCAGGATCAGCGTGCTCTGCTAGCGCCGCTCCACGCCTGCGATGCCAGCACTGCGCGCCAAAGGAATGCTGGGCTGCAGGGCTGCGCGTCAGGGCTGCGCGTCAGGGCTGCGCGTCAGGGCTGCGGCTACATCTGTTCAGTCTTGCCGCCTCCCCGTGTGCCGCAGTCTGCCCTGATTATGCAGCACGCTTTCACCACTCGTCGCCTATGGTAACCTGCACTGCTCTCCCATTTCTCACATTTTTAAATGCATCGCGCCTCAGCAGGCAAACACAGAGCGTCACAGCAGGGCTGTAGGCACCGGCAGAATGGCAGGGGGACCCACCTGCGCTTGAGGCATAGGCCTTTATCTGAAAAGGATTTACTGAAATTGCTCTAAACATGGGAAATCTGCCTCACACAATGAGGTGAACATGGTCAATGCACTAATTAAACTAGGTCTGGGTTTGGAAGGCTTATTCAGGCTAATGTGAGCTCATATGTAGCCTGGGAAAAGCACATACCTGCCAACACGGGGCAGGAAGCATGAATATCCAAAGGGAGGGGCTTCAGGGAGGCACAAGTCTACAGGGGGAGGGGCTTCAGGGAGGCATGAGTCAGCAGGGGGAGGGGCTTCAGGAAGGCACAAGGGAGCAGGGGGAGGAGCTTCAGGGAGGCACGCGAAAGCAGGGGGAGGGGCTTCAGGGAGGCACTCAAGAGCAGGGGGAGGGGCTTCAGGGAGACAACAGGCCAATAGGGGGAGGGGCTTCAGGGAGGCACGAGACATCAGGGGGAGGGGCTTCCGGGAGGCACGAGACATCAGGAGGAGGGGCTTCCAGGAGGCACGAGACATCAGGGGGAGGCACAAGACAGCAGAGGGAGGGGCTTCAGGGAGACACAGGCCAGTAGGAGGAGGGGCTTCAGGGAGGCACGAGATAGCAGGGGGAGGGGCTTCAGGGAGTCACAGGCCAGTAGGAGGAGGGGCTTCAGGGAGGGCTTTGGGGAGACATGGGTCAGTAGAGGAAGGGTTTTCATAACGTATGGCCAGTTCAACATGCTGTAATAGACGCCTGACTGACTGACTGAAGCAAACGACTTGACAGGACAACTGAATCAGTGGGTCTGGGTCAGTGCCAGCAAACAGCTTCATGCATCACGACCTGGGCAGCATCAATTTACATCCAACATCTCCAGTATCCTACATAACAAGAGGCCTGGGATGTTATTATCCGATGGAGAAAAGCTCTCTAATGAAATACTTCAGTGCTCCTCAAATCAATCTGTGTGTGTGACTTTGAGGAGGAGAATCACACAATAATCACATCAGACCCAAGAACATATGCTGAGAGAACCAGCGACCCAGTGGACAGAGACGGAAACATGGCGCCCCACTCTCTAACATAACAGTAAACAGGCTAAGCAGATCATCTGTCTGGCCAGCAATATGCAACCCCTGCACCGCCAACCCCCACCGGCAACCCCCCACCACCAAACCCCCACAGGCAGGTGGAATAGTCACAGAGTCCAGGCATGAGGTGTTCAATAATTCACAGAGGCGGTCCCGTTGCGTGGCAGCAGGCTGAAACACGAGAGCCACGGTCTGTGGGCCCCGCAAGGGTGGGGGGGGGGGACTGGGTCACCTAACCAGGCGGGAGGAACTGAGTACCTCTGCACAGGGGTCACCCCACACCCAGAACCACGTTCATTTAGCTCGGGAGCAGCTGAACGCCAGGCTTCCCGCCTCAACACCATAGCATGGCCCAACACGGGCGACTCTGAGGCCTCTCACCTCACACAGGGGCGGACGGATCAAGTGACGTGAACAAGGCAGATACGCGGTAATCCAGACACTGCGGAGCAGCCCGGCAGACGGGGGGGGGTTCATGTTTATGGCGAGCTGAATGAGGCACGCCGTTCTGAGGGCGGATTGGGCTTCTGATCTTGGCGTGACCCGATACGCCGTTTTGGGCACCGTCCTCACGGCAAGTCTGGAAGGGGCCGCCTGCTCTCAGACACGCCGCCTTTCCCATGTCCGCTATTGTCACTGAGACACTGGGAACACGAGTTACGGGGAGGGAGGGGCATGTGAGTGTGTCGTCCCACCCGCAGGACTCCGCAATGCCCATGTGCCCTTTCTGTCGGGGAAGATTCAGTTACCGGCAGGACAAAGACGACAGAATTCTGCCAGCTTTATACCCCGGCGGAAACCCGAAACCTGAAATGCATTCCGGCATCCTCCCGCCCTCTGACATTGGGGTTCAGCGCCATGGACTCGCGCGATCTGGATGGCACCGTCGCCATATTATTTTTATCCCTTCTGGGGCCTGGGGGCGATCCTGCGGCGACAGCCGGATCGGGGGACACGGAGGGGAAGGCGTCATGCGATCGCGCGATGCTACATTACCTCTTTTATGGCGGCCATCTTCACGGTCTCGTAGTAATGCAGGGCGGAGTGCGGGTCGTTCATGTCATACCCGAAACCCGCCACCGCCACCTCGTCGCAATTATGCAGGGCCATGGTGATGGCGACGGTGCCCAGCGTGGGGATGTTCTATAGAAAGATGCAGAATGCAGTCAGCGGATGCACGGCTAAAAACCAAACAAGACGAGCAAGTCGGGCTGCTGTGACCCTGCATCGATCTTACAGCCGAGCCCAAGCAAGAAAATGAACAAAGCTCTAAAAAGGGAGCAGAGGGCACCTCTTAGAGTTCTCTACAACAGCCCTATAAACAGCCTGCCGCTTGAGGTTTAGAAACACCCCATCACATCCAGCCCTTTAAATACCCTCACTGACAGGCTTCCAAGTCAAATAGCGATCTATCTTTTCCAGGCACTCTGTAATCGTGGACCTGCGTGACGAGCTGCCGTGCGGGGAGGCTGACAGGAGCTGGGCTCTGGCTTGGTGGGCTGGGACAACAGATTAACGTCCCTGCTTTGGGGGGGGGGGCTTATCAGTGGCGGCACTCATGTCACGCTAATCCAAGTCCCTCACAGCCATGTGCCACCTGATAAGCTGGTTAGGGTGCTGGACCAAGCCCTGGCTGCCAATCATGGCTCTGGGGGGAGGAGCCTGACATAACCACAGCCCATCGACAGCGCTCACACCCCTCATAACACTCGCTTCGTTCACGGGTTAAGCTGCTAAGTCATTTTCGGCTTAGGACCTGATGATTGCCTCAATGCCCCCAACCTGTCAAGCTAATTTTTTGGGGTGGGGGGATCAGCCGGGAAGGAGGATGTAATTCTAGCCATTAGCCGGCCTGGTCTTGAGGGCCCTGGGGGCCGTGGGGCCCGAGAAAGGAGCCCATAATCACTGGCCAGGCGGAGGGCAAGCGCCCGGACCCTTGAGGTGAGTGCAGTGTTGCACCATCAAAGACGGGGCACTGCGGCAGGCCGGTGGGCCTGATCAGTTCCATACGGCCTGGTACTGCCCCGGGGGCTCAGCCAAGCACACATGTGTGCCACACATGTAGCGAATGCAGTGCGGGGGGGCCTCACACCAGCACGCCCACACACGTGCTCAGCTCCAGCTAGGAGTTCAGTGATGCCCTCACCTTTAATCTGGGTGGAGGGGTGACAGGCCTGTCACCGGAAAGGTCACGAGGCGCCCTCCTCAGGAGGAGCAGGAAGCAGCAGCCCGATCAGTAAAGCCCAGGTAAACGCGGGCAGGACGCTGGGGCTGTCACAGGCCCTTCACAAACACCTCCTCTTATTGGCTCTGGCCCCAGTGAGGCCTCCAGCTCCCAGATAGGGGAGCGCGGCTGATACACAGCTGGCAAGCCGACCGTGACCGTGTGCTTCAGATGGTAGCATCGCTCCCTGTCCAGGAAGCACTTATGAGAGCCGCAGCCGCCCTGCTTTGGCTGGCATCCCGCCGGGCACACGCTGCTCGCGAAGGGGGTCAGCTGACCTGCCATGAGACTTACCCCCTTTCCCATGAGGCCGTTGTTCAGGGGCAGGCCGATGAACTGGAACGCAGCCTCCTGGATGAAGTATGGGTTGAGGATACGCATATCTGAAGCTTCCCGCGGAACGTAGAGGGCGATGGACTTCCAGAAGCCTTCCATTCCACGCTGAGCCCGGGAACGAGAGAGAGAGAGATACCAGGTCAGAGGCAGCTGGCAGCCTCTATGGACGATCCATGGATTTCAAAGCCCCGAGTCACTGCATCATTCGCCATGGAAACTGGCCAGATGTCCAGCAGAGAGATTATTCAATCCAGCCGCACCATGATTAGGAGCCACAGCGGCAGAACAGGCCCGATGGTAAACAGAGAGGCAGCTATTGGCTTTAATGGAAATCACCTGTCCAAACACGCGAGTGTCGTCTTTGATATTCCAAATAAAGGGAGCAACCACAACACGGAAAATGCCTTTGAACCAGCCTGGAGTGCTGCCAGAGGCGAGCCCCGGCATGAGACGCGATGCCGGCGGGGCCCGCCGTGCCTGGGTGCGGGGCCATGGAACGGGAGGTGAGCGGCTCGGGCCGGAATGCCGGCGTGGGAAAGGGACCCCAGCTGGTCAGGCGGCACAGACAGAGGATTACGGGTTTCAGCGGAAATGTTACCAAAGGCATCTGACAGCAATCAGACAGGTGACTCACTGAAAAGGTCACATTCCCACCTCCGCAACGCGGCCTCCGCCTGGCAGGCAGGGCAGCGCCATTTTCCAAAATATTTAATTTATATATATATTTCTGGCCATGGTGGAGATACAGAACATCTGGAGCAGAGATATGAAACTTCTGGGCTCTCTGGACCAGAAGAGGTACCTGAAGAGTGACCAGGGACTGATCACCTGGAGGTCTGATCCATGATCAACCAGCCCAGGACCACGGCATAGGGGCGATCGGACCACAGGAACTGAGAACGTGAGCAGCCGGGGAATGGTACCAGACAGGAGTGCCCCAAAGTGGCAGTGAAGTGAGGAATGGATCAGGCAGTGACTCAGAAGTTCTGCATCAGCCCATAAATGTGGTGCCCGCTAGCTGCAGGAAATGGTAATGCCGCTGGGGGCAGGCGGTCACCACAGGACTCGCTGTTGTTGTTTTTGTTTCTCTTTGGATGAGGCCCTTATAAAAAGTTATTGGATAATTACATTTAGCTTCACGCAGGAGGGCTTCGTAATCAAACATTAGCACCTGTTAAAACAGCCGTTCATTAGATAGGTGATTACTGAGACAGCTGGGAGGAATTACGGCAGAGAGGAATTCCAAGTGAGCGGTCCGAGGGCCACAGACACGGTCGGCGTGGGAGCCCGGGGCCCCGATCGGAGCAGCACGCATGCATGCTACCCGGCCCGGCCCAAGAGCTGCCAGACCTCTTAGGCATCCAGCAGGGTTCTGATTTAGGCACTGGCTGACTATGGCTCTGCCCGAAGCACATGAAGGCTGAGAAGCAGATGGGCCACAAACGCTTGTGGTGTCAGACTGTAGGGAGAGCCGACCAGAATCACAGCAGATTCATGGTTTGGCATTAATTACTTTGATCAAGGGCTGAATGCATGCGGTTTCACACAGATTATCACAAGTTTTGTTAAATTTGGTAACGAAACTAAACCAAAATATATTTTACTAGGCATGCGGATGTGAAACGCATCTGGAGACAACGACCCTGCATAACAACCTCACAGATAACGGGATCCTGCCGGGCCTCTGGGGAGGGGACGCCCAGGAATCTCCGCAGGTCCTACTCTGGCAGAGCACAATGAACCGGAAACACAAACTGACCTTTGCCCTCTCCCCTGACCTCTCACCCGGAACTAGAAGCTGCTGATTAACAAGAAGGGGGTGTGAAGTTGTTTTCATGCCAGTTTAATGATCTACAGGGTAATTAGTAAACTTCAGTGTGTGAGTGTGGGCATTGCTCTGGTGGTTCTGAAACCCACTTTGCGGGCTTCACATGCAAGATCTTGGTGGCCCTTGTATCAGACCCCTGGCCCGGCACCCTCCCACCCTCATTGAAAAACGGCAAATGAAAACAAAGCCGCCCCCCCCCCCCCCTCCAGGTTACGGTTCCACTCTGCCGGCCACAGGTTTCCCACATGACTACAGAGCGTCACACTGACCGGCAATGTCATCGTTAATGCGGGACTCTCACCATTCCTGGCGTTTAAAGCCGCTTTCCCTGGTACGTGGGATTTAATCTGGCAAACTTCACTGCCTATTTCCCGCTCGTCACACACCCCCGCCACCCCACAGTGATAAAGACCCCCGTCCAAACTAGGGGAAAACATGAGCAGCTACGGCTGGAAGCCGATTGGCTGGCACAGACCCAGGGGGATCAGGAGTGGTCAGAAAGGCTAGGGGGGAGGGAGTGGTTAGCGAGACTCCAGGGGTGACTGGGGGGCACCTCCCAGAGTAAAACGAGTGGGCAAATTCCCAATGAGGTAAAGTGGAGCTCTTTGAAGCGTTGCGATTAGCTGGCTCTGCTGGCCGTGAAATAACTGCAGATAAGCAGGAGAGGGTGGGGTGGTGCCCCCCCTTCATCCAGTAAGCAGTGCAGCCTCGATCCCTACAACCCCCCCCCCCGGGCCAATCTGGCCATGCCCTGGGGCTGTAGGATAAAGGGAATGGGGGCGACGGAGTTATGAAGTAAACTCAGGAGAAACACTGTATAAATGGTAATGCAATACAAATCCGGGGGGGGTGGGGGTGGATTAAGTCAATTCTGCAAAATCTTTACCATTGGGTCTGTAGGATATTTGCTGCCAGAGAACCTCACCATGTAGGTCACGTCCCGAAGGAGCCCCCACCGCGGGGCGTTTTATCAGCGCCAAAGCCGGGATGCAGATGAAAGGTCCGGGGAAGAGATGGGCTGCGTTACTGGGAATTCCCACTGCTAACGTGACAACACGTATGACAAGCCGCTTAAGGAGAATAAATCACACGCATTCACGGGCAGGATTAGCGGCACGTTCCCAGAGACGGGGGGAAGGGGGCGCCGCGTTGAGTCACCCGGCAAAAGCAGGTGAGCGGCTCTAGGTGTAAACATCGCATGGGAGTGTGGTTGCACATGGTAAACAGTGGAGCCGAAACAGCTGGCTGACCTCCCAGTCGCGTCCCTGCCGCAGATGTATGTTTTTGGGACATTTACAGGGGCCTCTTCCCACAGCTTTTCAACTTTCAGGGCGACAGCAAATGCAGACGGATGGTCTGGAAGGCCTCGTGGCACAGCAAGCAGCTCGTCCGCACTCATGTGGGTCACTGTCTGCCTTCCTCATGGGGAGGAAGACCAGGATGGTATCTGCTGATGGGGGGGCGAGAAGGGGCTGAGCGGGAGGGAGAGGAAACGGGAGGCAAAGGGGCAGAATGCGGCTGATACATGCGGTGAACAAACAGATGCCAAAGGCAGCAGTGATTCGAGGCCCCCGGAGCCAATCAGATGGTGGCCAGTGCCGTATTCCTGGGTTACCTAGGAGCCCGGTGCCTGGCTACACACTCCCAGGGAGGGGTCCGGAGCCACAGCGGAAAAGCCCAGTCCGGCATTCCGATGGCATGGAGGCAGCGGATGCCCAGAGAGCCACCAGGATGTGAGGAGCGGAGCAGACACAGTGAGATCCTGAGAGGGGCCCCTGCAGAACTCCTCCAGATGCAGAGGGGCGGGTCCCTGAACCTCACACAGATAAACGGGACCTTCATGGGCCGCTGACCGCTCTCACGGCGGCAACATGTCAGGTGACGGTGAACAGACAGGGGATCGATTTGAGAGAAGGATCAGGTTCTGGGCTGCACATCCACAGAAGCTCACCCAGGAAAACAAAAGCATCCTATCCGAGGCTCATTCCACACTGATACTGTGAAGGCAGGTCCCCCGAATTCCGCCCTTAGTCTCATTCCACACTGATACTGTGAAGGCAGGTCCCCCGAATTCCGCCCTTAGTCTCATTCCACACTGATACCGTGAAGGCAGGTCCCCCGAATTCCGCCCTTAGTCTCATTCCACACTGATACCGTGAAGGCAGGTCCCCCGAATTCCGCCCTTA